TGACTGCCTCTCTGCCTTTCCTCTTCCCAGAATTCTAGTCTGGTTGCCCCACCTATGCTTCCTGCCGGGCTATTGGCCAATCAGTGTTTTATTAAACCAGTACAAGTGACAAATCTTTACAGAGTACAAGAGCATTGTCCCACAGCATTTTCCTTTTTCCCTCTCAAAACAAGAACTCTGGATCTAATTCCCTTTGTTTAGCTTTTCTCCTGAGCATTATTCATAACAACTTGTAACCAACACTCTAAATAAAGATAAACATATATAAGTCATTTTTTAGGAATATGGGCATAGTTTTCTAGGCTACTTTCTGCTGACTGGGGGGGGGTGCGGATTATCTTATAAAGATCCAAAGAAAATTTAGGAATATAGTCAAGTCCTGACTGAGTATTCTGTGAGGCTGGGTCATCTCAGCCAGCAGTCCTGAAGCTGTTCTGGATGCAGAACTCAGAAGAAACTGGCACAGAGGTGCTCTGAGACATTAGATCATCTGGGTCATTGTTCCTATCAGAGATTTTTCAGGGGGTCCTCCTCAATCAAACCCGATTTTTCTTAATTCAGAATGAATCCACAGCCTCTCATGTCCTGTGGAAATAAAAGCAGAACCTCTTTCCCAAAGTAACATATCTTTTGACTTAAATTTTGGAGTCAAGGCATTTTCAAAATATGTATGTTGGATTTAATCCAGCAGCATTTATAATCCAATGTTTTTTAACAGTTGTTGTTCCTTCCTCAGCTGTCAAACAATTCAAAGACAACACAATAGCACAGTATCCAGACTCAGTGTATTTACCATCTTTACATGGTTCTTTTTAAAAACTCTATTTCTTTAATTTTTATTTTTTGTCTTTTTGAGACAGGGTTTCTCTGTGTATCTTTGGATGTCCTGGAATTCTATAGACCAGGCTGGCCTTGAACACACATAGATTTACCTGCCTCTGCCTCCCAAGTGCCAAGATTAAAGTCACATGCCACCACACTTGACTACTCTATTTCTTTCTTTTTTAAAAAATGACTTTCTCTATCCTTTTTCTTTTTCTCCTAAGCCTATGTATATTTTTAAACACGCTGTGAACCATTAAGAGTTTTTATTTTGTCTTAATCTGCCTTTACTGTATATCTTTATCTTTTTCTGACCACAAGTCTGTCTTTAATCTCCTAAGCAACATGGCTAGGATTAAAGCTGCAGCTTTGGCAGCTCCACCTCATTCCTTAGCTTTCTGAGAGTCTAACTTCATGGCAGAGATACTGGTGGGAGCCAGATTTATTGTCACAAGTCTGTGGAGTTTCTAGGTTCAGCCACCACCAAGAAGCCTGATGCTGACTGCTCATAAATAAGTTTGGTGGCAGAGCCTCTTAAAAGAGCTGCGAGTTTGTTTGTTTGTTTTTTTTAAATGTTTATTTATTTATACTATATCCTGCCTGTAGGCTAGAAAGGGGCACTAGATCTCATTATAGGTGGTTCTGAGCCACCACATGGTTGCTGGAATTGAACTCAGGACCTCCAGAAGAACAGTCAGTGCTCTTAACCACTGAGCCATCTCTCCAGCCTGAAGTTTTTGCTGCTAACACTAAACCAGGAATCTTCTCTAAAAGGAGCCGTGCCTCTGCTAACCTCTAGCAAACAGAGCCTACCTGAGAAAAGATGGTTACCAAGAAGCTGCCACTTGACTCTGCTCTTGTTTGTCTAGAATCTTTTTTTTTTTTAAAGCTTTCTCAGGCTTTATGTAAAAATTCTTGCCAAATGTTTGGGTGATATTTGTAGATCGAAGTTTCTGTCTTACTTGGTCCTACAGCCATTCAGTCCCAAAGAAACACATAGAGGCTTATATTAATCATAAACTGCTTGGATTATTAGCACAGGCTTATTACTAACTAGCCCTTACATCTTAAACTAACCCATAATTCTTGTCTATGATTAGCCACATGACTTGGTACCTTTTCTCAGTGAGGCATTCTCATCTTGTTTCCTCTGTGTCTGGTTGGTGACTGCCTTGCTGCCTTTCCTTGTCCCAGAATTCTCTTAGTCTGGTTGCCCCACCTATACTTCCTGCTTGGCTACTAGCCAATCAGCATTTTACTAAAATAACATGAGTAACAAATCTTTACAGTGTACTAGAGTATTGTCCCACAGCATTACAGAAGATGGGAACCTGTAGATTCTTTCTAGGCTAATGTGGTTTGATGGAACAAGATCCCCTGAAAGGTCTCTGTGAACCCTAAATATACTTCGCCCAACAAAGAGCAGTTTGGAGAAAACTGCATTCAAGCTCCCCAAAAAGATTGTTTATGAATGTTTGTTTTCATTTAAAGGAGGTTGACTGTAAGTGGTTAATGGTCACAGTCAACCTCTTTCTAAAGAAAAAAAGATGGGGTGTGATATAGAAATGAATACTTTACAGTGGTAAGGACTTTGGTTTATTGATATAAATTTAAGATCAATTTTGTTATATGTGTATTTATACTCTTAAGGTATTATGTTTATACAGCTCATTTAAAAATGTAATGTATAGTTAAAAAATACAGATTAACCAAACTTTTAGTCATATTAGTTAGGTTTTCTAGATATGCAGAGATAAATTTCAGTTAGATAATCTTCAACACTTCAAAGACCTACAGAATATGGCATTTAAAAGGTTTTAAGAACTTCGACTTTTCTCAACAGGAAGACATGTCTGCTTCTGGTGGCACCAATTACTTCAGATTGATGGATGGGCACTGAAGAAACGCAATATGGAATTTATCTTCAATGTGACAAGGCTAGCCCTTTGGGTAAGAAACTGCTCTTGTCTCAACTGCTTGATGCTATGCTGTATGAACTGGACATGCAGAACCCACAGAAAAGTGACTGCAAGCTGAGCGGTGATGGCTCCAAAACCACAGAGAAACCCTGTCTCAAAAAACGGGGGAAAAAAGAAAGAAAGAAAGAAAGAAAGAAAGAAAGAAAGAAAGAAAGAAAGAAAGAAAGAAAGAAA